ACTCTTTCACAATCTACTTTTAATTCTATAAACCCTCAATATAACTTTTTACTTCCTACTATACTTGGTATCTACTCGAAACCAATATATCGCACTTTTAAAACCCTATTCAAAAAACAAACTGAACACTTTGCAATTAGCCTTTCAAACAATCTCTTTAAATGGTTCTACTATAAAATATGATCTCAACGTAATATACATCAACATCAATGAGAATTGGCCTGAAATATTACTAACAAAACAAAACACACTAAATTTTCTTTACCACTTTCTACTAATCAACAAAATACAAAAACACCCACTACTCAACTACTGAACCTATTGAAAAATGGTACCTACAAGGCTTTTCTCTAACAATATACATTATGTAATGTCTAGATTCACACATTAGGTTTTTCTTCCAAACTATCCTAGCAAGATTTATTTTATTCATTTAAACTAATAATAGCATTAAATAGGAAATAGAAGGTGTAATATTACATTGGGTGCTTTGTAGCACAAGTGTAGTTAGAAATCTTTAACTATAGAAATTTATTTTCTAATCAATCTTCTTAAAATTTACTAGTTCAAGTTGAAGGGTTTTGGCAGCCTGATTTTAAATAAGTAGCTTATCTGTCTCCTTACCTGGATTTGTAGACTATAAGATAACTTTCAATTTTCAGACTGACTGTAATAAAGTTTCTACTATGACATTATATAATAAAAAAATAAAAAAATAAAAAATAAAAATAAAAGTTACTTATTAAAGGTATATTCGAATATAAATTTTAATAAATTTGTTCAATTGTAAAAAACTTCAACTAACTAGCAAAATTATTAATTCAATTAGATTTTGCAAAGAAATTTTATAAATTTGAATTTATACATTAATATTATCGCAAAAATATAAGCAAAATTGTATGATCAATCATATAGATAAGTTGTATGCAAGTCCATCTAAAAAATCCATTAATGAGCGATTATTCCGATCATTGATAATAGACCTTATTCTATTTTCTCTTTCAACTAGACTCTTTCTTTGTTTAGGACGACACTCACCATAGAAAATGCGATTAATTTGAGCTTTAACGATTTGTTGTTCCTTTTGTAATTCTTGGATTAATGTATATACACCAACATGAGAATTACCAACTAACGTTGCCCACCGATTATGCCATCTCTCAACTATATTTTGAGTTCGAGGGACACTTAAATCTAAGCACTCATGTACTGACCATATTTCGGGGAGAAAAAGAGGTGCAGAACGAATCTCTTAACCATTTCTAATTCCTCGCCTAAGTTTACCGAGAACATACATTTCTTCAAACCATAAAACTAGTTATCTTGCCTCTTGAGGCATTTGTGGTTTTAAAATATTGAATGCGCTTGGGATCTCACTAGAGGGTAAAAAAGCTAAAGCAAACAAACATCATACTTTGATACTAAAGCATGTATCATTTCCGTATTTGCCTATTGAAACAAATAACAAATAAAGTTAGATTATCGTTATACGTACAGTATACATACATATGGGCTGCCGTCAATAGAAATCAGGCAGATCTACATTTGAAAAAAAATCAATGCCTTAAATTTCACAGCTCATATCTCGATAAATTTTAAAGATACCTTGATGCTTTATTATTTAAAATAAAGCTTAGATCGTAAGCTTTCTTTTAAATATTAAAACATTATGATAGCTTTAAAATTCATCGATATATGAGCTGTTAAAGTTAAGGCATTAATTTTTTTTCAAATGTAGATCTGCCTGATTTCTATTGACGGCAGCCCATATGTATAAAATTTCTAGATTTGCACCACATAGTATATGACAGAATACAGCAGGTATAAATAAATATAATCTTACTTGCTAATCCACATTTTTGTATCTTCTTCTATCCGTTCTGCCCCAAATAAAAGAAACATGCCTTATTTATAACTCCAGAAAACATAAACTGTGATGCATTTATTGCAGCAACTTCAAAATTGGTGATAATTCTAGGAGGATAGATATCAATTTCATTCTCTTAGGCAAAGTCAATCAAGCTTTCAAACAACCAGTTATATTGTTCTTCAGATTTATGTAATATTAATGCATACACAAGTAGGAGAATTCAGAAATTATTTGCAGCACCAACGGGTGCATGAATCGAATATAATTAATGAAAAATCGTAGGCACTGTATCGAACGTCCCGTCTATGATCCAAAATGGAGCACAAGATAAGTATTGAATGTTTTCTAACGTAGTAAAAAACGAGAATTCAACTTTGACCAACTAATTGGTCATTAACTAAGAAAAGTTTGTCATTCAATGTATTTTGAAGATTATTTGGTACATCGAATTTGGCAATGTTTTGCGGTTGAGGTGGTAATCCTGTATGTCTTACATGTTGAATTTTTCTATGACAGGCGTTTGTTGAAGGAAGATATGGTCTAATTGCTTCAGGTATATTAATAATATTTTCCTGTATTATTTTAGAAGGCTTATCTCTTGTTTCTTGTGCTTGGCGCTTAATTTCAGAAGAAAACTTTGCGACTTCAGCATTATGTAATTCAGGTGCATGAGATTTATGAATAGTAAAGTTTTTAAGGTAATGTATATTGTTATGTAGTTGTGTGACTGCTCGACCCTTGCACCTGTTCTTTTTTTTATCACAAGCCCAGTAATAATTATTCTTATGGCAGGATTCCAGTGTCATCAAGTAGCCGTGAACATTTATTTTAGTACCACCTTTTTGCGATAGTACAGTTTCGCAAATTTCATTTATTAGAAAAATAGGGAAAAAAAATAGAAAACTAGGAAGACGAGAAAAAAAATAGAAAAATAGAAAAAAAAGGCTTTACGATTACGGTTATGATTAATACTGTATTTATGAATAGGATTTTTACAAATAGAATGAAGAAGTTACAATAAAGAAATTGAAAGTTTAATTATATATATATATAAGGTATTTATAATCAAAAAAAATTGGTCATTATTATAATAATTTGTTAAAGTAAAATAAATTAATTATTTAA